GTGATGCACAGGACATGATGCAACAAACTGAGACGTTTTGAGGAATAAAGGTAAAATGACACAAATCGAAAGTAGACTGGGAATGTAATAAAACAAATTCTTGCATCAGTTGAGGGGTAAATAAATCTACAGTTGAATGGGTTTGCACGTTTAATTCATTTTGCTCAATAGTTAAAAGGTATAACTCATTGCAATGTCAAAAAATGAACTGGAAAAAACTCCATAAAGTACAAAACACAATCTGCATGTTTTTTTCTTCTCGTATCAAAGGTTAACATGTCCATATATAAAATAATAAAATAAAATAAGCAAGTTTTGGGATTGAATGCCAACAGTGGGTGCTTGTTGCAGACGGTCTCACTGTTTACATTGACTGCATTCCTGCATTTCAGAATTTTATGTCAATATTTCTGCAAAACCGCTGGTCTAAACTTTTTCAAACTGCACTGATAAAGTCCATTATAACTTTTTTATGTTCAGTTTGTCAGATTGCAATGAGTGCCTATAATTTAATAGTAGGGCTGCAACCTAATTTAAAATAAACATGATGGCTGCAAAAAAACGGTCTGACTGTGAAAAAGTGCCGCACAATATTAGAAAGACACACACACTGACTTCGTATTACTTATAAATATTTGATATCATCTGCAGCCCAATTAGAAAATATTAGAATGACATAAACTACTTTATGTTTTGTGAGTATTTATTTAAATCAAATGCATTTCTGTTATCTGTTCATGGCTAAAATGTCCAGTAATACTGATAGTAAAGGTCCACATGGTGGAGTGAGGTAAAAACATTTGTGATTAGCTGTTTTTACATTAAATATGTTTGTTTGCTCTTTTACGTAGAAGTCAAAGTGATCTGTCATTCCCAGCAGAGAAAACTATTTATAGTAAACTGTAGACCTGACCTTAAACAGCCCTCAGACATTTGGGCAAATATATAAATGGGGACGAGAAAACACACTCTACATCCCATGAATAAAAACAATAAAAAAATGTATCTGATAAAATCTATGGGATGAAAAGAAGGGAAGTAATGACTTTCATCCCATAGATTTAAGATTATCTTATGCTGAGAAGATGGTTAAACTCGTGGGATCTGATGTGGTAATGTGAGATCTCGCAAAATGTGTTAGTGAGACTCAGGTACAATACATAGATCATTTACATAAATTGTAAACAGTTTGGGACTCAGGACTAACCCCTGAGGAACACCACAAACAATGACCAAACATCCAGAACAAACGCCTCCCAACTTCACATACTGCTGTCTGCCTTTCAAATAGCTTTGAACCCATAGTGCTTCTCCCCTTATCCCATAGCGTATTTTTTTTTATTAATAAATTATGATTGACTGTGTCAAATGCCTTCTTCATGTCCAACAACACTCTCACAGCAATTTTTTTATTATCCATCACAGTAGTTATTTCATCTACAGTTTCTAAAATGGCTTGCACTGTTGATCTGAAGCCGTACTGACATTCACTGATTAATTTATGTTTATCTAAGAATGTTTCCAGTCTGTTATTAAATACTTTTTCTAATATTTTAGAGAATTGTATCAGCAGAGAAACAGGTCGATCGTTGGTTAAGAAATGTTTGTTCCCATTTTTGTTTAATGTCAATATTTTAGATGTTTTCATTTTTTGGGGGGGAATGAACCAATTTGAATTTCAATTGAATTGTTTAAATTTGAAATGACAAGTTACTAATTTATGGTTTGGAAATCCTCTCAACGACATGCTTTACCAGTTTCACATCAGTCCCATGTAAGTCAGTATAGACTGTTTATTATTACATTTATTTACAATGTCGACTATTTCTTTTTCAGTCACAGCACTGAGGAACATTGACCGTAAAGACGACAGTAAAGCCCATGAGAAGATTGTTCAAAATTTAGTTTTATAGTAACGGGACCAAAGTTCTTCTCTTCTTTGAATGTTTAAGAAAACTGCTTGGTGTTTTTGTATTATTTACCCACAGATGCAGATCATTTTGTTGGTTTCCACACACACACACACAAAAATCAATAAAATTACAATGCAACTGGAACTAAAAAGCTTTATTTTTATCTCATCTGTCTCAAAAACTTTGGGGATGGTGTACTGTACATCCATTTTTGTGAATTCTTGTCTGGCTATTTTGTGTTTTTCTATATAAACAGTGCCAACCTATTGGGTCTTTTCTTGTAGAGTCCATTCTGTTTCAAAATGTGATGGATGTTGAGATCAGAAAATGATGATTTTGTCCATTGGAGTTCAGCTCGAATGCTTTTGGACAGTTTCTTTGGTTCTTCTTCTACCATCTGCAACACCTTCTCTCTGATCAACCTGGGGTTGGGTTGAGTCTTGCGTCCACATCCTGGGAGGGTGCCCTTTGAACCTTACTGAAACAGTTTAAATAATATTGGCAGCTTTGGTCAGAGGAACAAGAATCTGTTTGGAGATGGCCTTACAGTAAAGACTAGTCCATCCAAAAAAAATAAAAGAGAGAGAGAGATTAAAATAAAGAAGATTGTGGATTTTAAAAAAGGGTTCTAAGCTCAATAATCAGGTACAACAATGATTAAATTGTGTCCAGTTTCTTTAAGTGAGAAATGTTCGTCCCCCATCCGGAGGACTTCATCAGTCTGAGGCCTGCCAACCAGATCTGTCCCATACGTAGCCTTCACGGCTGTGTTTCAAGGCAACCTGTGAAACCGTAGAGGTAGGCTTTTAACACTTGCAGAACACACCCATCCAAAACAATCAATCATCATCATTGACTTGAAGCACAGCAATGAAGGCTGCCTACGGGACAGATCTGGTTGGCAGGCCTCAGACTGACGAAGTCCTCCGGATGGGGGACGGAACATTTCTCACTTAAAGAAACTGGTCCAGATGACATGAATTAACCATTTTTGAAGATTATGGAAGTTTATATTAAAGGTAAAGCCTTTACCTCTAAGATAAACATCTATAATCTTATTTCTGAGCAAACAGCTCTCATCTGCTTCATGTTCAGTGTGGAGCACACCGTGACACCAAACTACACACATGCTTGTGCCCTTCAACATGGTTGAAGGGCTGAGGAAAAGCTTGGAGAACTGTGATACTTTTTCAAAGTCCCAAACTTACTTTTTGTATACTAAAGGCAGATAAACAGACAACTGCCTTTAAATGATTCACTTTTAACACGAAGCGAAGCACTGCTTCATTGATCAGATAGGGTGTCAGCACTGAGTCAGGACGTAAAATAAACACACATAAAGGTTGAATGAATATTTAGTGGTCATTTATGCACACAGAAAGGTAATTAATGAAAATATCCATCAATCTAACTATTATCATTACCTGCTTCTTCTTTTCCAGGTTGCAGGAATCACTGGTGTCCATGTCCAGCAGCCCAGTGCAAGAGGTTGGGTTTCCATCACAGGATCACAGAGACAAGCGAGACGACCATTAATAATCTCACAGGGCGACTGTGGCTGAGTGGTTAGAACAGTCGTCCTCCAATGCGAGAGTTGGACGTTCGAATCCATCAGCAGTCGCATGAAGCGTGGGCAAGACTCTGATGTGTGAACCATCGGTGTATGAATGTGACAAAGCACTGATTAGTCTCTTTAGACTGGTTTGTTCCGTTAGCATGTGCTCTGTGAACGGGTAAATGAGGACACAGATAGTGTAAAGTGCTTTGAGGATAAGATAGAAAGGTGCTATATAAGTACAGGCCATTTACTCACATCGAAGGCCAATTTAATATTGCCAGTGGGCCTAACACGCATGTTTTTATTTGTGGGAGGAAACCAGATAGTTGCTTGAAATTTAACCGTTTGTTAGCAAAATCATGCACCTCTGGGTAGACTGGAATACTAGGTCTTTTTAAGTGTTTCTTTTTTCTTAGAGTTCAGTTTCATATCTGTGGGAGTTATGGCAAAGCTTCACTGCTGCGATCTCTGCCAGAGGTGTGTGTGTTTAAGGAGGTTACTGGCAGGACTAGACTGACAGCTGCTTGGCAGAAGTCTGCAGACATTTAACTTCTTCTTTTCAGTAGGAGACTCATGTGTGAAGTCTCACACAACGCACGCAGTGCTTCATTTCCCCCCTTCTCCAAAAACCTGAGACTTGTCTGGTTTCACAATGACTGGGATTATTTTATTAACAGGTCACCATCTGTTTCTCACCTTCCACTTTCCTGACAAGAATAAACTTCTGGCACCAAATGATGTGACCTTGCCGCAGGTCTTACTTAAACTTGTGTAAAAAGTTGGGTTTTAGAAATGAGTTTTCAAATTATTTGTGCACTATATGTAATGTTGTCGTTTAGTGAAAAAAACATCCAAACTTAAACAATAAAATTGGGTTAGTTGCCTTTTGATAGCGCTCATTATTCAAATATTCATTTTCCATTTAAATTTTCTTTTCTTCGCTGTGGCCGAGCCTCATCAGACGGGAGTCATGTCTCATGATGAATGCAGCTTTGGTCTTGTTATAATTAATTCAGTCAACTGGAAAAAAAAAAACTACTTCACATCTTTTATCAAAACATTTGCCATTAATATTTTCCTTACTGAATAATTCAACACTGCCTTTGAATTCATATTGATTAGTGTGAGAATTGCTTACTTCACTTTATACAAAACCCACATGGGAGTGGTGGCGCAGAGGTTAGAAGATGGGCCTGTGATCAGAAAGTTGCAGGTTCAACTCCTCATTTGCCCCTCTGGGCCCCTGAGAAAGGCCCTTAACCACCATCTGCTCCCTAAACAGGTCTCTTGAAAACGAGTTCTCGTGGCTCAATGACACTACCTGGATAAATAAAGGGTAAATGGAAAAAAACAAAAACAAAAGCTAACTTGATTTCAATATTTCAAATCAATTTAACCATCACCTTTTAAAATTACTTTAATCAAACAGAAGTCCTGCAGTCTGCAGAACCCCATTAATTTTTTTAAGCAATTGCTGACTGATTACTAAAGAAAACATTACACACATCTTGAATATTTATTAGAAAAAAAAACAAAGCATTTTACAAGCCAAACACCTGCACTAAAAGAGGTGGTGCTACAGGACAGTCATGATCCATCTAGCATTAAATAAAAGCCACAATCTGCAAGCAAATAAGTATTTACAATCAAAGTTCATGTCGACAGTAATGGATCACCCATTCATAAACCAGATTAGGCCCCTTTCTGGACTTCAAGCTGTTGAAGAGGAAGCTCAAACTGCAGTAACAGAATTAAAAAGGTAAGAAAAAGGAAGTAGGGTCAAGTTTTACTGCTTTGGGAAGTACGTTTCAATTTGTTCAGTTAAACATCTACTGACTCCTGTTTTGCATGCCTAAGCTACGAAAACACACCGTGCTCTTTACGCAGGCGTGCTAGTTAAGTCAGGCGTGCACAAAGCATGTAACAGGGGACTGAGAGACAAGCATGTACAGATGCTTCACCTGACTAACTCCCAGCCCCGTGTTCAACTAATCTCATCAACTTCTACACTTTTTAAATATTTTCCTTCGTCTCATCATCTCACACACCAGCCTTTAATCTTACATGTGGCCAAAACTAGAAACGGTTTACTTTGTAAACACGAGAACTGAAGCAGGAACAACCACATCACTCTGAAACTAGACTGTGCCACATTTGGTTTTCTAAGCAACCGAGGGCGTCTTCCCTCGCCGGTGCTTGCGAACCTCCTCCATCAGGTCCTTGAGATACTGAATCTCTCGGCTGATGGACTCCGCTTTCTCTTTCAGCTCATGATTTTTCTTCTCCAGCTCTTCACGTTCCGAGGTTAGCGACTCCTGCTCAACTCTCTTCTTTTGCCGGTAGCGAGTGGCAGCCGTCTTGTTCTGCTCCATCTTCTTCAACTTCTTCTCGACCACCCTGGGTGTGCCCGACGCCGATTTGATCCTCGAGGTCTTGGGGGAAGGAGAGGCTGTGGGTTGTGGTTTACAGTAGGGTTTGGTTCTGGAAGAACCGGGTGTGGGGGAACTAGGGGGAGTCGAGTGACGTGTGGGTGACCCAGCACCCGACTCGATGCCAGAGTCGCTGTCACAGTCACTTGATGAAAGGGACTGATCAGGGAGGGACATGAGGGAGGGCTCCTCTTTGTTGGCAAGCACGACTACAAAGTGACCAGCAGTGGGAATTGACAGCACAATTGGACTGGTAGTTTGAAGGACTTCACTGGGATCTTGGATGACAGTACTGGTAATCGATGAGGCCATTTTCTCAATATCTAAAACATCAACTTCACTCCCCAGCTCTAATGTGTAGGCTGGCGATGGGGGAGATGGAGACGGACTGGGAGACGGAGGCTCAGACTTCACAACCTCCTGAACAGGAGCCACCTCTGGTGTCTTGACATCAGGTAAAACAGTGGTTTCCATGGGGAGAGGGGGGACATTGGGCAATGGGAGGCCAACATCTGGACTGCTGTGCTGGATGGGGACGGTTGTGTCAAAGGGGTTTAGATCCAGGTCCATGTGGGAGTCGAGGGAGGCCAGGAATACTTCAGGAGAGCTGGGAGACTCAGACGAGCCAAGGAAAGATTCCAGGTCAAATTCACTCAGATCCATTTTTTCTGACATCCAGTCCAGGTCCTCAAAAGCATCTGTTAACGACAAGTTTAATCATTACATTCAAATAAATACATTTTTAAAAAATCTGTTTCATTTGATGATTTTCTGGCTACTTACAGAAAACGTAGATAAGTTACTTGAGGGTGTTTGTTAATTTCTCACCTTTGCTCATGTCTGCTCCAATGTGGGCATTGAGCAGGTCGCTGGAAGCCAGCAGAGACATGGACAACAGGTCGGTTTCAGCCTTGGTCTCCAGGAATGAAGAGGGTTGAGTGAGAGGAGAGGGAGGTGGAGAAAAAAAAGCGAGCGTGGACAATGGCATTGTTTGATTAGGAGAAGAGGGCGACGCATAGGAAGAGGAGAGAGTGGGTGAAGCTGGCGCCTTCACCTCTAAAGAGAAGGAGGGAGAAAGAGCTTCTTCTTCATCTTGGTCCAGAAGGGGCCCGATGGGGTCAGCCATCAGAAACGAGGACCCTATAAACAAGGACAGACATTTTTTTTTAATATAGTATTTTAATCTCAAGTGTCTTAGTGACTTGCAAAGCTAATATTACATCAAATTGTCTACATTAAAATTGTAGAAGTACATTGGAAGCAGACGTCAATGAGACACCAACCTAAGTACAGGGCCTCCAACTCCTCCATTGCGAGCTGGGAGTGTGTCATGACTGCTACTGGTCAGCGGTAGACTTAAAATGAATGAACACAAAGGAGAGTCCGATAAAAGCAAGTCGAGGGGTCTGGTACTGCTGTCGACGGCAGCAAAGTGGAGGGTGGTTGCCGGAAGAGACCTGCAATACACAGACAATGTTATGGTGATTAACAGATGTGAATCAGACGATTCATTTAAAAACAAGTCTTCACTATAAATTTCTTCAAATGTTTAATTGTGGCCTAGGCCCTCTCCGAGTGACGTTTGCATGCTCTCATTGTGAATGCATGGTTTTCTGGGGGTACACCAGTTCCCCATAAAACCAAAATCATACATGTTAGGCTAATTGGTAATTCTAAATTGTCCTTAGGTGTGACTTAAGCGTGTGAACGGTTGTCTATGTGGCCCTGCGTGTATCCCACCTCGTGCATTGTGACTATTTGACTCTCATAGTGACTCTCCATGACCCAGATAGATAAAAAGAAGCAAGTAAATTTAATGGATGTAAATAATGGATTATTGAGCATGCATCAGGATATAATGGATGGATGTTTACACTACTGGTCTGGCCAGCTTTCATTATAATCTACTACAGTATGTACTTATAAAACAAACCGTTCCGGACTATCAAGTTTCATGCAAATATCCAACGTCAACTAAGGCGTGTGTTGTGAGGGTGTGGAGGCTAATTCTAGATAATCTCTACTTGTGTCAATGCGTGTTTCAAGGAAAACACTCCGCCCTCCACCGAGGGACATTTCCTAATTTGGTCATACTTTGGTTCGCAGCTCCGCCCACTGTTGAGTCACCGTGGAGAAATGGGAGGGTGACCGCCATTTCTGCACGAGGCGGGGTAGCAGGAAAAACTAGAGCGCGCGCGCCATTTTGGCCACGCCACGTTGACTATTTTTATTGTATACAAACAGTGACTCATAACCTACGCTACCACTTAAAGAAATTCGCTAAACATTTACCAAGAAATGTATTTGCTGCTCAACTCGAGAGCCGCTGACACGCGACGCACATTATTAACGTTTGACTACTAATCAAACTGACGCAGACCAGGGCGGCCCCAACGCTGACAGTCTGTAATTTGACACTACAACTCCAAACCAGGAAATTAAAAAAATTAGGTCAATAATATAGTGTTACTGCCACCATTTAGTTTTTTTTCCTCCAAAATATGTACTAACATTACTCAGCTTTAAGGACTAGCTGACCTAGCACCATCTTTAATCCGTAGCTATGCTAGCTACAAAATAAAAATAGTCCGAAAATATGAACGATGGTCATTAAAAAATACTTACGCCATTTTGCCTGAAATAGCCAGTGCACTTCGCCGTTGCACTGCCAAGTTTTTGCCGCTGCAAAGATTGCTGCCGCACGCCTTTAAACTGCCATTTTAACCCTGGACAGCTTCTAGCACTAGCTCCACTCAAACACCAAACGATACTGACTGAGGAAAAATAAGCGGAGGCTGCAACCCAAGCTTATAAAGAGTCGAAGCACAGCTGAGCGTACTCCTCCGCTGTTTTGATCCAGTGGGCGTTGGTTTTTAAAACAGGAACAGCCCGAGTGAGCGGAGTTCCATGTTCAATAACCACTTTCATATATCATGCCTGTTTACAGGTACAACAGTAACTTTAAACAAACTCACTATTGTGAGCTTCACTCGTATGTAATTGGCTGTTTGTTCACGTCATAGGATTACTTTATATAGATCCACCTAAAGTATTAAAACCTGTAGGGTAAATATAGAATGTAAACAATAACTAAAAGAACACGATGTGAACTCTTAAGCACTACCCTAAACCTATTATATGCAAACAATTATATCATCCCAAAATACAGTTTTAAGGTATTTTTTTATTCAATAGGCTGTTTTTGTATTCATGTACTCTTCATAAATTATCGTTTGACATATTTGTATTAGCGCCTTTATTTTTTTTAAATCGGGCTGTTGCCTTTGACTCTATTCAAGGGCATTATTTGTGATCTGTTGAATTTTATTTCCCCATAGAAGAACAGTAATTTCACTTTTTATTAGGGGTGCACCGATTGCAGTTTTCTGGCCGATCACCAATTTCTAAAAAATCTGACCTGCCGATTCCGATTTTGGCCGGTACCGATTTTATTTTATAATCGACACTGTCCGGTGTTATAAGGTCACAATGCACCTTCAATTTTCTAATCTTATTTTATTGAAAAACATACCCTTGAACAATATCCTAGAAACAATACAAACTTTTTTTTAACAGGCCATGAGGTAGTGCTCTGAAATATAAACCAAGTTCAGACAATTGTTGTTAAAACTAAAAATGTCTGTAAAATCGGTTTCTGATGCAAGTATCGTCCGATTTCCCTAAATTAAGGAAATTGGGACGACCGATTTATCGGTGCACCCCTACTTTTTTATATTAAGGAGGCTCATGAATATGTGAGAATATCATTTTATTAAACGGATTATATTTGAGCATAGTTTGAATTGTAATAGTCAACAATTGTCATGTAAAACAAGTCATTTACTCCCAGCAGTTGCTCGTGGAAAGTACTTGTGTAGGAAGTCAAATGGGTAAAATGATGATAAAAAGTACCAAGCATATGGGATGATCCATCCTTTGCAGAGTTTGGAAGCCGACTGCCCCCTGGTGGTTCACTTGACTGACCCCCCCCCCACACACACACACACACACACACACACACTGAATAGGATGAACAAGAAAAAAATAAAATAGTAACAGAAAGACAACTTTTAAGGGTTTGTACTTTAATAGGACATACTGTTCCATAAAAGCAGTGCACAAGTTACAACTTCTTTGCAATGATCCCTTATTTACTCACATAAAATGACTCTAATGTAAAACTACAAGCTGCACTGAACCTAAAAGTACATGATCAGAAAAAGAATGATTCCTCGTCCAACTCACTGAACACATCATTTATTTTCACGAGCTCGCTCATGCCTTCATCAAGGTCCTCTGCTAAGTTGCAGAGATGTTTTACCAGGTTTGATTCAGGGCTATCAGCCTATTGGTGCCATCAGAACAGCAGGAGTCCATGCCAACTGCATGTGAGGCCATGTCACAAGCATTTCCGAGTGTCAGCTTCCCTACGTTTGCCTCTTCAGGACAGCTCGTGCTGCTTCAGTGACTCCATCACTGATGAACCAGCCCAGAACATCCTTACAAATGCTGTCAAAGTCTTGTAAAGTGTTGCTGATTTTCTTCTTGTCTTTTACTGACACAAATTCAAAAATTGTTATAAATAAAAAGCTTTAAAAACAAATGACAGCTCAGTGCGTTTTGTGTTGATGACCATTTTATAATTGACTGAAAATAAGCCTCGACTGAAACACGTGGACATTTTTACATGACTAAAATTCAAAAATTCCACTGTTGTTGCTCTTCCAGCGAGGCCAGCAATCTTTGTGCTCACTGACACTGGCTCCTTGGACTGATGAAGTCCTTTGGATGAAGGATGAAACATCTCAACAACAACAACAACAACAAAAAAGAAACAGTCATAATGACCTGACTGAACTTTGTTGAAATTTTAAAGAAACTTGCAAAAAATAATCTTTGAATGTGCACTTACGATAGAATAACTATGGATGGATTCAAGATGGTCGACACAGTCAACTGAGCTTAAGAACATACAAAAATTCCCATCACTCAATATTTTGATTAGACACTCAATTACACATTGAGCTAAAATGTGGTGTGGTAGTAGCCAAGACTGCTCCCCACCACAAAATTTGAGCACTAACAGATTACAAAGGATTTTTGTTGAAAAACTTGGCATCAGTATTTTGCAGTCCGCTCTGTATACATCTGATGAACCACACTGAATGAGGTTTAATGAAACTTTCATGAAGAAATCAAAGGATGTTTTTCTAAAACTTCCAGGTCCATTTAGTCCAAGTTGACCACCACAGCTACCGTACTTTCCGCCGTACACGTTGCACCACCATATAAGTTGCATCAGTTCAAATATGTCTAATAAAGTGGGAAAAACATAAATACGTCACTTTGCTGTATAAGTTGCATATTATGCGTCACCGCTGACCACCCGGAAACGTGGGCCGGTGTTGTGCCAAAAATCGATTGGCTGCCAAATGGCGGCTGCGGGAGTGTGCATGCACTTTAACAAGAATTTAACAAGATTAACAAACAATTATTTGCTCAACATGGGGTGTCTCAGTTGAACTTTTCCTTAATAAATGCACTTTAATGGTCAAATCAGCTGCATTTCGCCTGAGCGGAGCGGCGAAATGCAGCTGATTTGACGTTTGCTTCCGGAGCGAGATGACGGTGGCTTTGTATGGCAAGCCAAGTGTCTCTTTAATAGCCATGTTTACCTATTAATGACACACTTGGTTTGCCATACTACTCGAGGGCCCTCTAGTGGCTGCAAATAGTAGTGTTCAATATTTTCCACGTCGGAGTGAATGAATTAATCAGATCTCAGCCAAAAGTTGGGTTATAAAAATGGAAAAAAATGTTTGAGCTTTGGTGTATAAGACTTGCAAATTTATGCAAAAGGTGCAACTTACACAGCGAAAAATACGGTAATCACAATTGACAAACACAAAATGGCTATAACTCCTGTTTCACCGATATTAAACTAAAATTTGACATGGTAGTAGCTGAGAGTTGATTACAACTCATACTCTGACTGTGACATCATGCAATGTTGCATGAGATAGAGTAAAATGTTGTTTTCCAGGTATATTCAAAATGGCTACGACTTTGCAATATGTCCACATTAAATGATCATGGTCTGAAACTGGCCTAAAAGGCAGCGAGTGATATGCATTCCATTGAGGGATGGCAGGCTTTTAATATTTTTTTAACTGTTTTTAGTAAATTAGTAGAAGCAACAAGAATACATCATCTTTATGTTTTTAACAGTCTCACATAAGACATACAAATTCTCATCTTCAGTTTTGTTCTGGCCAGCAGGCAGCAAAAAAAAACAAAAGGGTACATTTATTATTTCATAAATGCAGTGTACACATTTAAAAGCTTTGTTATGGTCCCAAATTTACTGCCCTAGAAATACCCCAATGTCACACAACAATTCAATTCAAAAATACTTTACTAATCCCAGAGGGAAATTAAATCAAGCCGGATTACCTCTAAAAGCACAAAATCAGAAAAAAAGCTAACGGTTCTTAATCAAGCCTACTGAACACATCCTTTATTTTGACGAGCTCACTCAGTCCTTTCTCAAGGTCCTCTGCCAAGCTGCGAAGTTTTTTTCCAAGCTTCGACTCGAGGCCTTTCTTCACCTTCACCCCATCTTTTCCCTCAATAAAGTAAAAATCCATACCGAGTGCAAAGCCTTTTATTAATCCAGATGACTTGCTGCTGGTTTCTGAGGCCATGGCACTAGCGTCTCCTGTAACCAGTTCCAGAGTTTGTGCCACCCTCTGTGATTTCCTCTCAGTATTGTTGAGAGCAGACATCCCGTGCTTCTTCAGTAACTCCATGAACTCGTTGATGTACTTTAAACAGCTCAGGATTTCCCCATGACAGCCGTCAAAGTCTTGCAAGGTTTTATCGATTTTCTTCATGTCATTTGACATATTTGCCTGCAGGAACAAAATGTTTTCAATTGTTATCATTGTTTTCAGTTGTTGTCATGCATTAAAAACGTATATGATTTGAATTTAAAATATCAACACCCAAAAGATGCAAGAACAATTTAAAAATAGGTGACCTATAGTTTGCTCATGGACTTCACCTTGTTGGCGATGGCTGCTGAAGCTCCAGTGACGCCGCCGGCTGCAGCCACACCGACACCAACAACAGTAAGGGCCAGCGAGGCTCCGGCTGTGAAGGGACACAGAATCACACCAGCAGCTGCCGCCACTCCTCCTGCCACTGCTGACGCTCCTCCAGTGATGCCAGCAATCTTTGTGCCCTTCGAAACCTTAAAAGAAAAAAAGAATAAAATGTAATATAGTCTCTACCCTAACTCTGCTCAAATTACTGCCAAAACAACTTGCACTAAAGAAAAGGAGTAGTGGTAACATTTTGGCCTCTTCTTTTTTTATTGTGTAAATGTTTATGAAGATTCACTCTATTGTGATCCATTTTTCTTCCTTATGTTTTTCGGCGCAATTCTTGTCCCGCACTTTTCAAGCTATTTCAACAAATCATATATCAAAACATTCAGCTCATTCAGGAGAAGGGTACTATGACTTTTGGTATTTTTTTTTCTATCATAGAAAATGAATTGAGCTCATTTTACATTATTCAAATCTTTAGATTTGTTTACAACATTTTACTGCTCCTTTCACGTGTTGTTCAGGTTCTTTCAACTTCCTTGTGCAAATGTAAACTTTTTTAAGCTACATTCAGCTGTTTTTTTCAGCTGTTTTGCACTCCTTTCAGATTCGTTCTGCTAACTAAAACATTTTTATTCTTCTTCTAACTTTTTTCTGCCAATTTCAGCTTGTTATGCTCTTTTCAGCTTATTTAT